AAGAATTTGTTGAAAAACAAAAATGAAGAAACCATAACATCAATTGACATCATCAAACCAAGCTGCAAAAACATTAAAAACATCAACAACAACATCAACAACAACAATTACATCAACAATTTTAATAAAATTAAACTTGACAAAATAAGAAATATTGCTTACATAAACAAAAATAATATCGACAACTGCAACTACAACTTTAACAAAAATGTCAAGAAAAGCAGTCGTAGCAGCAACTACATCATTGCTAATGGCAGCAATCGCAACGAGATCAACAACAACAACATCAAAGCAGACTCTCATTATGAGGACACTGAAAGTAGAGATAAAACAATTCTGTATAAAACTGTGGCTCTTAAAACCAACAACAACAGAAACAACAACAGCAACATTTATAAAAATAGTTACAAAAAGTATAAAAAGTTCTACAAAATTCATAAAGCCATCAACAAGATCAATAAAAATATCAATATAGATGTCTATAGAAGAAACAACAACAACAGCAGCAGCAACAACAACACCACCACTGACAACAACAACAAAAGCAACAACAATCACAACTTCAACATCAACAACAACGACAAAATATCCAACCCGAAAAATAAAATTATTAATAAAACTGACATAATTAAATTCACCAAAACCGCAACAAAAATGTTGATTGATAGTTATTCGCGGACGCATCACATTTCCAACAAAAATTTCATCAGAAGAAAATTCATCAACCGATCCGAAATCGCTGGGCATATCAAATGTATGGTTTTCTTTTTATCAATATTTTTATTCACTTTTTTTTATAATTAATTAGTTAATTGATTAATTGATTATTAACTATAACTTTAATTAATTTACTGAAGTATTAACCACACACGCACAACGCATTAGTACTATTATTACTATCATTATTATAATAAATATTATAATAAATTCATTTGAAATTTTCCCGCTAGGTTTTTTTAAATATTTTAAACTATCATTAATCAATTTTATTTCGTCTGACCCATTATCATAGAAGTTTAATTAACTCCGTAGTATCGTCATCTTACGCAATTTACTGTGATAGGAACACGATTTGAACGTAATTTAATGCTGATTCTATTTCTCATTGTGCCCATTTTAAATGTATGGCGAGCATTGTAGATTATCTATTTACAATTAACATTATAAGTTTTATTGACGGTGATGATGACGATGATGATGACGTAATTACAATGTATGTATTAAAATGAAAATAAAAAGATGTTCTCATTATTATTATTATTGTTGTTGTTGTTGTTGTTATAAATGTTTTTATTGTTATTATTGTTATTTTTCGTCGGTTGAAATCCCTCCCAAAAAAATGCTAGGCTTCATTAAATTTTGCTTATCGCAGTTGAAACCAACTATCGGATGATTATTTAGGCTAATTAATTTTAAGTGTAATTCTGTAAGCAAACAACAACGTCAACATTAACAAACAAACAAACAAACAAACAAACAAACAAACAAACAAACAAACAAACAAACAAACAAACAAACAAACAAACAAACAAACAAACAAACAAACAAACAAACAAACAAACAAACAAACAAACAAACAAACAAACAAACAAACAAACAAACAAACAAACAAACAAACAAACAAACAAACAAAAAAACAAACAAACAAACAAACAAACAAACAAACAAACAAACAAACAAACAAACAAACACACACACACCTAAAAACAAACACTCACAAACATTAACAAACACAACAAAACAAACAAACAAGCAATCATACACTACCAAAACATCAACAAAAAGTTCGACATGCCATCAAAATTAACGTCACCCACATATGTCGTCAGCAACATCAACGATAAACGATCAACAACATCAACAACAACATCAACAACAACATCATCAAACATCAACAAAATCAACAACATCATTATCATCACAAAATATAAAAAAATATGTTTTTTAGCTAAACAACAAACAAATCATGAACATCAGAACGGATGTGAACAGCCATAAGCGGAACATAGCACATTTCCAAACCTTAAAAGAATTCCATCATTTTATAAATACATACATACATACATACATACATACAAGCATGCATACATACATACATACATACATACATACATACATACATACATACATACATACATACATACATACATACATACATACATACATACATACATACATACATACATACATACATACATACATACATACATACATACATACATACATACATACTACTACCACTACAAATCATAAAAAAACAATTATAACCAATTATCATTATCATTTATTTATTTAACTATTATTTTATTTATTATTTCAAAATATTATTTTGAAGTTTCTAGAGAATGTTTGCTGGATTTGTTACGATTTAACTTGACTTAAAATCTTAAAACACGATAATGGCAATGATGATGAATTGATGCTTGGGTATTCAAATTCAAATTACTTTTACAGACGTTACTTCTACTGCTGCTGCTGCTGTTGCTTCTACTGCTACTACTACATTTATTACTACTACCACTGTTTCTATTACTGCTAATACTGCTTCTAGCGTTACTATCACCGCTGCTCCAACTATAAAAATAGCAATTACTAATGTTACTACAACAGCTAGCAGCTAGTAAAGTTGCTGTTGCGATTTCTACAACTTCCACAATGGCAGCGCAATGACAGCGTAAATATACGGCAGCCACAGTTTCTACTACTACTACTACCACCACCACCACTACTACTACTACTACTGCTGCTGCTACTACTACTACTACAGTTACTACAGCTACTACAAAATATAACAAATATTACTGTTACTACACGAAACAAGTAAATTGCTGTGGCTACCACCACGGCGACTAGTGAAGTTACCGTCGCTACTGCGACCACGTGTAGTGCATTATGTGTAATTGCGCCATTTACAATGGCGTGCCTTTATAACTTACGACAAAGAAAATTGTCTGATTCAAACTACAATCAACAACATTAATAATAATAATAATGGATAATAATTACAATAACAGATATAATAATAATATATAATAATAAATAATAATAATAATATATAATAATAATAATACATTAAATGGTATTAACTCAAATTGTAATAGATGTTAAAATGATGATTATGAATAATTTAATGATGGCCAAACGATAATGTAATACAGTAGTATTAAATAAGTAAAATTACTAGACAGCGTTGAAGATGAGTAAGTACGTTGTCGAGTTAGCTCAGACGGTAGGAGTGCTATATTATGTTGTTGCTATTGCGAAGGGATCAGATTCGAATACTGCCTGCACACACACATACGTAGAAAAATAAATGTGCGTGTGTGTTGTGTGCGTGCGTGTGTGTGTGTTGTATGGTGTTGTTGTGGTGTTAAAGTCTTAGAGATACAAAAGTTTTGAAACGTGTTTTTTTTATAACAATTTAAACTTCATAATTTACAGAACTTACGTTACTGAGAGTTGTAATTTATATCAACAATAACATTTCCTAATACTAAGCTACAACACAACTGCAACGACAACAACAGCAGCAGTAGCAACAACAACAACACTAAATAACGTTTATAGCAATGAATGCTAGTAAATTTCGTGACCTCTGTACTCATAGTACTTTTATTACTACCGTTATTACTATTAACAGTACAAGGCTCTAGATGCTACTACTACTACTACCACTTCGGCAACAACTACTGCTGCTACTACTACTATTACTAATGCTGCTACTGACGCTACTACTAATAATACTACTAATACTACTACTACTACCACTACTACTACCATTGCTACTAATATAACGAGATTCAATCTATTTATAGATGATTTGCCATTATTCTCGGCGTTTTACGACGACGCTGGTGGTGACGACAACCACGATGTTGTTGCTGATGATAGTGCTGTCAGTAATGATGATGATGACGATGACGACGATGTGGTTATGATGATAGTGTTGTCAATGATGACGATGACAATGATGATGTGTTGATAATGATGATGATGGTGTTGTCAATGATGAAGAAGACGATGATGATGTGTTGATGATGATGTTGATGGTGTTGTCAGTGATGACAAAAATGGTGATGATGATGACGATGATTTTTAATTCGTTCACTTATCGAACCAAATAGAAGCAAGAAACCAATCCATTAAACCATTTTAATTAAAACGCCGATATTAATGGTGGAGGTTATAAAGGAACTTATCTGCAGCAACTGTGATGACGATGTTCATGATGGTGGTGATGATGATGATGATAATAATAATAATATAATAATAATAATAATAACAATAGTAATAACAATAATAATAATAATAAAGATAATTTCTGTATTCAAAAATTGTACAGAAATGTAACGACGATGATGATAATGATGATGATGAAGAAGACGATAAAGTTGATGATAATGTTGATGATGATGACGACGATGATGATGATGGTGATGATGATGGTAATGATGATGATGATAATAATGATGAAGATGGTGAGGATAATGATGATGATGAAGATGACGATGACGACGACGATGATGATGGTGATGATGATGATGATGCAACTGTCCGAATGTGAACTCAAAGTAAATTGATACCTTTCTAAATTGACCATTCTATAAACTGACCGTTGTCATGTGACATTTTTGGGTTCGTTCAACTATATATACATCATTCACTCAACTGCAAAATAAGCTTTGCTATTAATAGGTGATTTTGTTTCAGATAAAATGTTTTATTTGAGAAAATTGTTATCAAGATTCTCAATTCATCACCACCATCATCATCATCGTTACCTTCATCGTCATCATCATCATCGTCATCGTCATCATCATCATCGTCGTCGTCGTCATCATCATCACCACCAGCCTCATTAAGCCTGCCATTTGAGGCACATCCCAGCATAAAAGAGGAATTGCGCGCGTTCATTGGCGGTCACGAACGAAATGTTCGATGATGTTTGCCGTTCGCTCCCTTCATTCATTCGTTTTCTTTCTTTTTTCATTCATTCATCTATTTATTTTTCCGTCTTTTTTTTCCTGGTCATTCTTTATTCTTTCATTTCTCAGTCATTCATCCTCCGTTTGTTCATTTTCAGCTGCTGTTCTTTTATTACTTTTCAGTCCTTCTTCCGTTCGTTTGTTTGTTTGTTCGTTCGTTCCTTCGTTTAAAACTTCATCTCTTTTTCGATCTGCCATTCAAATTTTAAAATTTTCAAAGTTTTTAATTAATTTCTTTTAGATATTTTCAACAATACATTGTTTAATACATCGCTTTTAAGATTCTAATCATAACATCATCATCGTCATCGTTGTCATCATCATCGCCATCATCGTCGCCATCATCACTGTCATCATCGTCAGAACTTTAGTTAGATTTCTAATGTCCATTTTCCGTGCTCGTTCATTCATTTTTTTGCTTGTCTCTCAATCAATCATTTGCTTGTTAGCCTGTTTGCTTATTCATGAGTTCATCTCTGTATCTATTCATCCATCTATATTTTTATCCAACTATTCATCCATCCGTCCGTCTATCAATCTATTCATTCATCACTTCTTCATTTTTTTGTCAATCTATCAACCGTTGATCACTCATTTAACTTTTTGTCATTCATCTGTCATTTTGTCCATCAATCAACTAACCAATCCATCTATCTATTCATTCATTTATCTTATTTATCCATTTATCTATCCATTCTAACTCTAAACGTCCACTACTTTATCAATCTACGCATCAATCAATTCATTCACTCATCCATTTATTTATTCCTTCATCCCTTCCTTCATCCCTTCATTCAGTCATTCCTTCATCCCTTCATT